TGGTGCCCAATTTGGCCACAGTTATGGCAGCCTTACCTCTTAGCCTGCCCACCAGCACCCAGGGTCATTTTGTGCGGTGTACAAGAGGTAGTCCCAGCATTGCTGGCTTTATTTTCACGTACCACTGTACCTCCATGGGTCAAATGCATGTCTTGTAAGAGCATCTTAATGCTCTTCATGGAAGTTAGTGAAGCCTTATGTGCCTTAAAGTGTAGGCATAGAAGCTGGTTCACCTTCAAAGCATTTGAACAAGCCGTGTAGGCTTCCCAAGGAGTTAACTGTTGACTGGTGATCAACTGCTGGCCTTCAATGTAGAAACAATCCACAAACTCAGCCAGGATTTCCTTGGGCTTAAAGGCAATGTGCATAAATGCATCCTTCTTGACCTCCAATCTGAGATCTCCTCCAAACTCCTCAATAAGGAGGCGCTTCATATCCTCCCAAGTGACAATGGAGGGGAGCTTGGGGACTACTACTTCTTGGCAAGTGGGATGGAGGCAGGTGAGGATGTGTTCCTTTTTTAGCTTGTTGGTATCCTTATGCATTGCAGTTTTGTAGATGGTTAGAAAGGCAGCAATGGTAGAGGTTTTTGGATTGAATATCTTCTTGAAGGTTGGTTTGTAGTTTGGGTCAATAGACAAGGACAAGGACTGACTGTTTTCACTAGGGTTGAGGACGTTAATATGAGGGTTGCCTTCAAACTTGGATTCAGCAGCAGGTTGTCTAGCCCAGAGGAGTCAAAGGCTTTCTTCTAGAGTGTCCAAGGTAGAGCTGTTTTGCCCAATAATGTCCCTATCAGTGGCAGCAGCAGTCCCAAATTCATCAATCTTGATTTATTGTACTGCCAAGGTGCCATCAATCCCATTGACACAAGTAGTCAGAGAAGTGGCCTGAGCAACCAAGGGGATGACTTGTCCATTTAGGGTCTCAGTAAAGCAGGAGAGGTTTTGTACCTCTCTTTCCAATGTGTCTTGCCTATCAGCTACATCATTTGTCACTTCTGCAAGTTGATCTAGTGCATGTGCACAGTTGACCTGGGGTTGACCTTCCAGACCAGGGCAACAACCATGATTGTCATGAGAGGAAGTATTAACAACTTCACCTTCCTCTTCATCTTCAGATTCAGATGAAGAACCCTCAGAATTAGAGAGGAGCTGTCTTAAGTACTTGATTTCACCTTGTAAGGTAACTACCTGATCAGTGTTGGAGGCAATACAATAGTCAGGCATAGATTTGACTGGAGGGGGGTTCTGAACAGAAGCTTGACGTCAAGTGGTAGCCTTGAGTTCAGTGATTGCCTCCCATACCTTGGTTTCAAAATCAGATGGGGTCTTAACAGGAGGAGCAGGAGGAGTCACCTCAATAGACACTACCCTGTCATCCACATAATTTTGCACCTGTTATAGAGTGTTGCCTAGTGCAGCCTTATCCAGACTGTATTGATGCTGCAGATGGCAGCCCCAAGTATCAACATTAGCTCCTATCAATTTGAGTTGCAAGTTGACATGCTCCCTGGATTGATTAAGCTCACTAACCAGAGTCTCAAAGTCCTGGCAATGATTTAGCAGAAAGGCTTCAATTTTCTCACACTACGCTGCCTGATGTTCATCCAATTTGCATAGCTGGTCATTTATGTATCCAGGGAGCAAGGAACAAAGGGAGTTCAGGGAGGTGGTTAAGTACTTCTGTGATGCCAGTGAGTTGTGCTGGTTATCAGAAATACACGCAAAGAGACTGTGTGACCATTCTTGATAGGCGATATTTTAAGCATGGTTACTTGAGACAGCGGTGGCTACAGCATCTAATAGTTGATTCTGGGATCCTAAGGTAATTTGGTGGTGAACTAGGGCAGGTTGGATGAACTGGTTGATCAACACGCCAATAGTATCCATGGATTCCATCAACGCAGGGGGGAGACTGAAGTCCAAAAGGAAGGAGTACAGGTATTCAGAAGCGTACCTGAGATGGAGGCCAGGGATAGAGTACATTGCCACCATACCAGAATGAAGAAGGGAGCGGGCAGCAGCACAAGCTTGCTTGTAGCTGAGAGAGAAAGCAGGAAGGGGCCCACACGGGCCAGGGAGACAGAACCAAAACCATAGGGTTTGAGGGGGAATTGGTGATGTCTTGTTCTAGAGGGGGACTAGACACTTAAGGTTGATTGGGTACTTCAGAAACAAAGGGAGAAGGACCAGAGAATGTGTGTGGTAATGGGGTAACCAAGGGGCTTGCAGCCCCTGTAGTGAGCACCATTTTGTTGTGTTTGGCTCCTGGAGACAACATCCATGAGGACACAGCAGGAAATCTTTATAACAAAAGATTTGAGGTTCAAAGCTAGCCTTGGGTTAGCCTTCAGGGCAAAATTAAGGGCACATACCTTAATTTCCTGGAAAACAAGATGTAAAAGTCCTTTTGGCAGAAAGGACAGGAAAAAGCTTGAAGATTATTAAAGCCAACACAAATGTGGATAAACTTGTCTTTATTAGGAGAAATGATTCTACTTAAATAGTAGACAAGGAATAATGATCACTCATTAGGAAGACAGAGTGGCTGAGGTGGTCACATTGGGATGAGGTCATACCAGGATCAATCACAGAAGGTACAATAGTCTGGAATGGGTGGATATTGAACCAGACCCATTTGCAGAAGGCAAGGAATTTCTGAACTCAAAAGCAAACCCAGCCAAATCTTTGCAACTATCAATATTTGAAGGCCATATCAAAATAGCATTAATTGCGCAATTTACAACAGCAGCCAACTGGTCTTTGAGTGCCAAGGAAAAGTGCAGGTGTGTGAGTAGATGCAGCCTGGCTGACAGGGGGTGGGAAGGCCAGGATGAATAATCTGGGAGCAGTTGGCTGGGAAGTGGGTGGCTGTCTGGATAGTGGGGATGAACATGTGGGCAGGTGGAGGCTGATTAGCTGGGAGTGGGTGTGGATGGGTACAGGCTGGTTGTCTGTCACCTGGTGGGGCCCGCAGAGTATTCCAGTTTTGGATTAATGCAGCAGTTTCCACTATAAGAGAAAACTTCTGCCAATATGATGTGTTGTTTTGGTGTTCTTTGCTGGGTTTGAACCAAATGGTAGCAGCAAGTGTTGCTCTCTTATAATTGTCAATAATATTCCTGAAATTCTCAGATTCTCCAAAGGTTCTGGTTCTGATCAAAGACAACAGGGAAGGGGGTAAGAGGGAGTGTTGCAACTGATATCAACCCCTTATTTGACAATGTATCTTGCAACACACAGGGGGAACTCAATTAATTGGCCCATAAAAGATCTAATAACATAATTCTTCTCAATTTTGATGTCATGAAAGGTACTCATATTCTCTTATAATAATTGAAACTAATTACAAAAAAGCCACACAATAAGTTGTTTAATGTGCAAAAAACCTTATTTTCATCACTGTCACTATACCACCTCTTTTTTGGGCCAATGTCTGTCTAGTATGGTATAAGAATTCCCTGATATTTCTAGATAAATATTACATTATTTAAATCTCTTTATTTGTTCTACTCTTGAAATTTTGTTTTCTCTAATTTAAATACTGGACTATAATTAGTTCAGTTGTAACACCAGCATAATCCAATATGACAATTATCTTTTCCAAAGCTGCAGTATTTTTCAACAACTTTCATGACATTAGTACAATAAAAACCTATCACATTAATTGTTGTTCTAAATAAGTTTGAGATATTGAAAATGACTTTGTGGGTCATATACTGGAATCAATGTAAAGGAAGGCTTAACTTATTTTAGCAACAGATTATTTTACCTGATGACATATTTCACATACCTGCCCTAAAATAACTCAACCACCATGTAATAATTACTTTACAATGAGATATTGATGCAATTTGTGCCCCCAAAAAGCTGTTGTCAGACCAAAGATATAATTTTTGAAAATACTCAATTAAGGAACTTTCCTGTTTGATTGGCATCAATCAGATATTCACAGCTGTTTACAACTCATAACACACATCCACCTAACAATAAATTAAACAAAGTTTTAATAAAAAGCTTAGATAAGATGTTGGCTTATCAATAAAATAATAGGAAGAAACGTTTTACATGCAGCCCTTTCGCAGAATTAGACCAAACTTCATTCAATATTAAATTGGTCATCATTTGAAACATTGTCAGAATCAATTCCAACAGCCATTTACACCCCTGAATAAAAGAAATTTTGTAAATACCTTCTTTTTTCAACATTATGGACAATTTCAGTACAATCTACAAAGAATAAGAAGCACAATTATGAGAGAAACAACTTAAGATTGAGCATAAAATACTGGTCTTTCAAGTCATATAAAGAATATGAAATTCAAGAACATTACAGATGACTCACATCCAAAGAAATTTTATACTAAATTGATAATTTTCTATATTATTCACAAAATAAGAAGTTAGTACAGCTCTCACCTGTCAAATAATTAATGGCCAAACTTAACCTCATCCAACAAACAACAGACTGCTAAAACTGTACCACATCTAGTTCGAGTAAGGTAGTGTGGTGCCAAATTAAAATTGGTGCTAGTCTTGAAATATATCAAAAGTCATTGGAATTTCCCTGGAAAACTTCTGTAAGTTGGGTTTTAAGTGGTTCCATTGCATCCACAATAAACTGTCTTGATTTTCTGAACATCAAGTATTTGGCATTTTTTACATCAATACCTGTACATTTTGAATAATAATAATATCTTACTGGCACCAATTAAAAAACACAAAACAATATATTGATATGAAACATGTTTTATTATTCTATTTGCTTTCCCTCTTAATATTAGCAGTTTATTCCAGTATTAATCCAACTTTATGTTCTTTAGTTAACGTGATAAGCTATTGATAACTAAAATTTATCAAAGGATAAACAAGATATCTTAAATATTAATGCTTATAAAAAGTAAAGTTAGTCTTTTTTGAAATCAAGATTGTTCTATGAACATAATGTTTATCTTAAAAACAAAAAAGTCATGAGAATACATGCCAGTATAATAAAAACAGTTTGTCCGGGAATCGAACCTGGGTCGGCCGCGTGGGAGGTGGCCATTATACCACTAAACCAACATTTTCTTTAAGGGAACACAGGTATACCACTAAAGCAATAATGCCAGATATTTACTGATGAGTATATGCATATTTATTCTTTCCTGTGAAAAAAGACATAATTTATGACAATAGTTCGAGTAAAATATATTCCCTGATGGACTGAATGTGTAAATTATGATATGAACTGAAAAACTTCCACAATAATATTTTTATTATAAACTTTTTTGTAGCTTTAGACTGGCTTTTTTCTTATTAGGTAAACCTTTATCTACCTTTTGATAAAACAGGATAAATTGATTTAATTTGAACAACTTTTAGTTACAATTGACCAATTTTAAACTTTAAATAAAAATATATCTTTGAATAAAAATTAATAGAATACTTAAAAGGATTTCTTAAATAGTAATATATTTTACCTATCATAGCATTCATATGTATCCAAGCTTTCTTAAGTCATAAGCAGTTCTAAACATTTATAATTCAGTCAGAATATAGCTTAATTTTAACCAATTATTGATAATAAATATTTTAATTCTTTAATTCTAAAAATAAATTTACAAAATTTACCTTAAAAGTAAAAAAAGTATGTTTTAAAATTTTAATAAATTATTGTTATATAAATTAGTGGGATACACCAACTAGAAAGAAGCAGGTCAGTTAAGTGTATCAAGGTGCAAGTCCTTGGGTCTCATCCTGCTGAGTGAAACACACTTAATTAATTTATTGGGGGGGGGGGGGGGGTAAAAAACTCAAAGAAAGACACCAGTGGGGTAGAGGTGGTTATGAACTGTTGCCTTCTTGAGGCCCTCTTTATGAATGTTTGGTCAATACTGTTGTAATGAGGTTAGAGTAAACTAGCCATTACTGATGTCAATACCTCCCATTAATTAGACTCTAGTGCAAAGGGTCAAATTGCCCTGTAGTTTGGATGAACAACTAGTCTAGTTGATCAACGGGTCATAACATCAGAGGGTTATTTACTCATCAAATAATCATACCAATTGATGGGCTGAGAACCAATATAATCTGAGATGAAGTCTGATCAGAGGATCAGTGGCTCAAGATTAATCACAAAACACCTATATAACTCTTCCCTTGTATTATTAAATAAAGAAACAATATTAAATTAACTATACATTTATTATACACACTAAGCAGAGAAACATCTTAGCTTAGTCTTTAGTAATACATAGGCTGTAATTGAGTTAAGCATATAACAGTCATCACCACATCATAGCTGAATTCACAACATTTGGTGCTCACTCAGCATGCAACAGCCTGATGGAACTTGTTGCCCAGCCAGGGACTTGTCTTTTTCCCAGGGAGGGAATGGAGATAACCTTCTCCACACTTTCCTCCGCCATTTGCAGGATCACCCCAGTGAGCTCTCCACGGAGATCAACTGCCTTGCTGGTACAAGGAATGGTCTACCCAAAATTTGTTGTGTTTGGTTGACTCATGAATGATGTGCAACATCCCTGCCAAATTGAGGACCACTCTACTTTGCACCTTGACGTTCCAATTCCACTAGAAGTGGATGGGAATGAAGAGCCTACCCAGCAGTAGCTGGAGCAGGCCATAGGCAGCATGGACTGCAGTGCTTACCAAAACAGGGAAGCACATGAGAAGTTAGCAGTATTGTCATCATATGGCACAACTGCAAAGGAGAAGTTACAAATTTCACTGGGATCATTCTCAACCAGCTTCAGTTGCAGATGAAAACAATCAAGCAAGCAAAAGAGTACATACATAGCTTTGCTCATCCCGCAATTTGCCACAATCATATTCATTTGGGGTATTAACTCTCTCTTATTTCTCACCAAGAAAACTTGATCAATAAACAACAGGCATTCCTTTGACGCCTGTACAATGAGCTTGTAGGTTCTATGGCTAACATCAGCCATCAGATCCATAGTTTGGCTGAACATCAGAACTACACCACTACTTGGTCTGCCCAGCTCAAAGAACGCCTGACCAATTACATGGCCACAATGCTTGGGACTATGCTAGAGCTGTAAGCAATGGATAACAATTGGCTCTGCACAGTAACCCATCACGTGAGAGAGAAGAAGCTACCTTTTGCTATCTATGCAGTGAGGTCAAGTTTCTCTATTGTT